GGCAGGAGGGGAGGAGGGGAGGCAAACACGTTGGGGACAGGAGGACAGGAGGACAGGAAGGGGGTGCGGTTAGACCTCGCTCCCTGACCCCTGCCTCTTTTGACCTCAAGCCTTCTCACCCAGCAACAGCAACCAGCCACCTGCGCCCCCAGCAAGGCAGCTCCCAGCTCTGTCTTGCCTTGTGTTTCAGGAGGCAACAGAGACCTCAACCCACTTTGTGGGAGCCATTCAGAGTCCAGCAGAAGGCCGTGGCCTCCCCAATCGATCCAGAAGGTGTTCATAATCTTATACTGTGTTACCTTGAACTTCCTGTGTTTTCTGTGTCATCTTGCCCTGGTATATTCATAATCACAAAACCCAGGACAGTTCCTCCGTCCCTTGTGCCCGCTGCAAAGCCCCTGCTAAGACCCTGGCAACCTGAACAGCCTAGGCCCCCTGCACAGAACCTGGCCCCACCCACACAGACCCTGCCCCTATGCACTGACTCTGTGCACCTGATGCACACCATCTGTCCCCCCTTGCAATGACCCAGACCACACCTGGAAAGATCCAGTGGCCCCAAACCCCGGCACAGACCGTACCCCCACCCTACAGAGAACCCATGCCCCTGCATAGATCTTGGCCCCTCTGTAGAGATCCTGCTCTCCTAGACAGGTCCTCTCCCCCTGACCTGAACAGACACTCCCTGCAGCACAAATCCTGCCCTCCCCAAACGGGTCCCTTGAACAGACACTGACTCCCAATGTAGACCCCACCCACTGCACAAATCCTGGCCCCACTGCACAGAAGCTGCTCCCCCAAAGAGACTCTGCCCCATGGCAAAGATCCTGCCACCTCCATGAGTCCTGGGGACAGTCAGAACAGACCCCATCTTCCCTATACATTCCCAGCCCCCTGCATAAACCCTGACCGCCTTGCACAGATCCTGGCCTCGTTGTACAGATCTTGTCCCCCTGCAAGAACCTACCTGCCCCTTGGCACAGACCGTGCCACCTGCACAGACCGTGCCCCCGCCCAGATCCTGGCACCCTACACAGATCTTGACTCCCCTCAAAGATCCTGCCCCACTGAACCGATCCTAGCTCCCTGCACAGATCCTGCCACCACCCAGATCCTGGCCCCTGCACATATCCAAGCCCTGCTGCAAGGATCCTGCACCCTACACAGATCCTGTGACCCCCTAGAAGTCCTCCCTGCATATACTCTTGCTCCATGCAGAGATCCTGGCCTCAATGCACAGTCTCTGGCCTCCTGCAGTCTCTGGCCTCAATCCACAGCCTCTGACCTCCTGCACAGTCTCTGGCCTCCTGCACAGCCTCTGGCCTGTGGCACAGTCTCTGGCCTCCTGCACAGTCTCTGGCCTCCTGCACAGTCTCTGGCCTGCTGCACAGTCTCTGACCTCCTGCACAGTCTCTGGCCTCCTGCACAGTCTCTGGCCTCCTGCAGTCTCCGGCCTCCTGCACAGCCTCCGGCCTCCTGCACAGTCTCTGGCCTCCTGCACAGTCTCCGGCCTCCTGCACAGTCTCTGGCCCGAGGCACAGTCTCTGGCCTCCTGCACAGCCTCTGGCCTCCTGTACAGCCTCTGGCCTGCAGCACAGTCTCTGGCCTCCAGCACGGTCTCTGGCCTCCAGCACAGTCTCTGGCCTCCTCCACAGTCTCTGGCCTGAGGCACAGTCTCTGGCCTCCTGCACAGTCTCTGGCCTCCTGTGCAGATCCTGGCCCTTTGCATGAATCCTGCCACACCCCCACCAGCTCCAGTCCTACCTCCTCCAAGAAGCCTATCTCACGACCCCCAGCCCTGGGAGCCTTCCAAACCTGGCCATGACTCAGCAGCACACTGCCAGGCTAGGCCTATGAGCTCCGGTCTCAGTAGTTATCCTCTGAGAGTGTGGTCAACAGACCCAGCAGAGACTGCAGGAGGCAGATGCCTGGCCCCTCACAGGTGCAGTCTTAGAGGGAAGGACAGGCCTGGTCATCTGGCCAGGGGAGTGGCCAGATGTGATGCTGACTACGCTCCCCGAGGTTGGCAGGGGCCCAGCCCTGGACCCAGAAAGGCTCCCACAGATGAGAGCAGGTGGTGCAGATGAAATGGCCCAGGTTTCTCTAGACCCCTAATAGAGCCCTGCCTCCCCCAACCTGCCAAAGGTGGGGTGGCCCCTCCAGAAGGGGAAGGTAGAAGCAGGGTCCTATACAGAACATACATGTCACACAAGAGATAGCAAGAGAGACAAATCATACGAGAGAGCAAGACAACCTCAAACACATGTCCTAGGCAGGCAAAACAGCATGCAAGGATATGAGGGATAGCTCAAGACATGACACAACGGCCCACGAAAGACAGCACAGAGCCTGTGTCCACAAATGACAGTAAAAGCCTGTCACAGGCTGCACGTGGAGCTCATGGGTATTTGGGCTCTGGGGTGAGAGTATTCACACTCACTCACCAGGCAAACACACACACCTCACTCTTATCCAGTGACTCAGAATCCGCAAATGCTAGAGAGCAGCTGGAGCACTGTCCTCTGTTCCCACCACTCGAACCCGCAGGGCAGGCCCAGTCTACCTCCTCCTTCCACAGGCTTCACCACGCTGGGCTGGCCAAGGACAAGAGTCAAACCAGAGGGTCTGGCAGCCCCACACAGAGCAGCCATCCCCTGGGAAATATAGTCACCAGGCCATACATTAGTGCTATTGAAAAAGTGAAAGAGGCCAGGCATGGTGCCTCACACCTGTAATCCCAGCACTTTGGGAGATTGAGGCAGGTGCATCACGAGGTCAGGAGATCAAGACCATCCTGAAGTTCCAGACCAGCCTAGCCAACATGGCTAAAAATACAAAAATTAGCCGGGCATGGTGGCACAAGCCTGTAATCCCAGCTACTCAGGAGGCTGAGGCAGGAGGATCGCCTGAACCTGGGAGGCAGAGATTGCAGTGAACCAAGATCACACCATTGCACTCCAGCCTAGGTGACAGAGTAAGACACAGTCTCAAAAAAAAAAAAAAAAAAAAGTGAAAGAATTTTAACATTTCTGAGTTTCATCAAAATAAATTACTTTGTCCTAGTAATTTTAACTTTACAAAATTAATATACAATAACAAAAAAATTGAGTAGCAGCTTCTCAATATGATGTTAAATTTTGTAGTCATTTTAAAAGTTTACTAATTTGATTTGAAGTTTCATTGTCAGGCCTTGGCAGCAATAAACATGCTTTTAGATCTCGGCATTTCCATTAGCCCTTGAAAAACACGTGAATCCTGGGGACAGAAACAGATGGGAGGTGCCAGCCTTCTGGGTCCCTCACAGCTGCTGGACCCCAAACACACAGAGAACCCTCTCTACAGAACTACAAGTGTGTGGAGAAACAGCAGGGGCGAGGAGTGTGGGCCAGGTAGGCCCTGGAAGTACCTGCTGGGAATAATGGACAGGGGTTGTCAAGGTGTTCCAGTCCTACAAAAACACAAGGTCACAAGCCCCTTCTCGCAGAACAGAAAAACATTCCCTTACTCAAAGCTCCCCACCCATGTGCCTCACTGGTCGGGACCCAGGGAAGCTGAGGACAGCCCAGGTCCTGTCTCAAAGGACTCACCTCTATGCGAGCACAGAAGGCTGCCTGGAGGAAGTGGCCGCGGGTGAGCGTCCCTACGTACTCACTGCTGCTTCTGGAGCCCAGGGACCTTCCTCAAGCCAGGCTGGTGCTACTGCCTGGGCAGCACCCCAAAGACACCTGCAGGAGGGGAGGGAGCAGCACCAGGAAGAGCCTTTGTGGGGAGCAGCAAAGCCTCGAGGGCTGGAAGCATGGGCCTCGCCAAGGGCTGAATGTCCAAGTTTACCCTCTTACTGAGAGACCAGGGCAGCCTCCGAAAAACAATGGGAACACCCAATAGCCTCCTGCCAAAAGGCCAGAACCTCAGCTAAGACCCTGCCCCTCAGCCAGGACAGCCCTACTCCCAGGCTCACAGGTTCCAACTCCCAGTAAGGTACCCCAGAGGCACGTCTACAAATGTAGAGAGAGCACAGACATCTTGTAGAAGTAATAGATACATAACAGATATGAACTTAATACATTCACTTTTGCCAATTTAAACTGTGGAATAAGCATGTGAATTAAGACATTCCAGAACACACTTATTAATGCCTGAAAAAAATATAGAATTATTAATTGGCCAGGCATGGTGGCTCACGCCTATAATCCCAGCACTTTGGGAGGCCAAGGTGGGTGGATCACCTGAGGTTAAGAGTTCAAGACGAGCCTGGCCAACATGATGAAACCCCGTCTCTACAAAAAATACAAAAATCAGCCAGGTGTGGTGGCAGGTGCCTGTAATCCCAGCTACTCGGGAGGCTGAGACAGGAAAATCGGCTTGAACCCGGGAGGCAGAGATTGCAGTGAGCTAGTAATTTTAAGCACACCACTGCACCCCAGCCTAGGCAACAGAGCAAGACTCTGTCTCAAAAAAACAAAAATAGAATTATTAATTAGTTATAAAATAAAGGAATGCACAAATAGATTTCCAAGATCTAGGACCTAGGACCCAAGATCCCAAGACACAGGGTTCAGCAAAACCCAGCTCTAGTCTTGAGGGACCCCTGGACCCCTGAGGCCCCAGACTTGCCCTAGAAGAGGTGAGGGGTCCCGAGTACCCCTTTCTGTGAACACCAGTGGCCGGTGCCAGGGCCTCCTGGCCATCGGAAGGGAACAGGCCTGAACCACAAGGTCTCCTCATGGCCCATGGCCCCACTCCACAAAACTAGCCCCAAAGATCCCTCAGGCCAGGAACCTGGGCCCACACCCCCTAGGACGGTGCGTTTGCTGCAGTCTGGAAAGGACGTTCGCCCGAGCTGGAGAAGCTGGCTCTAAGCCTCTGTGCCGCGGTGGCCCCCATGAGGGTCGCATCCACGCGCCCAGGGCCCTCCGGAGGGGAACCCCCACCCCCACCACCCGCCCCCGCGGATTCGAGGGAGGGAGGCGCAGGACTCCGGGTTGCTGGGCAACCGCGTCAACAAGCCCCAGGGAGCCTGCGCTGCACAGCGGTTCCGCCGACCCAAGCAGGCAGCAAGTATGGAGTGTGGGGACCAAGACCGGGCAGGACCTCGGCTCCCGGAGCTAAGGAGGGGTGGGGGCGTTCGCAGCCGCCGGGTCGGGCCGGGCCGTGGCTCTGCGTCTGGCCAGCTGGGCTGTTGACTCTTTCCCCCTCTCCCCATCGAGGACCCTCCCTCCTGTCAGCTGCCCCCAAGGCTCTGCTCCCTACGACCATCGAGGCCCCGAAGGGGAAGAGCCAGCTGTCTGGTGGGAGATGCCGACTATCGGGAACCGCAGACATGGGGGCACAATGAAGGTGCCCCGGGGTCACCTAGAGGTCTCTATGTGGCGCCCAGCCTGCCAGGGCCTGAGACCCACTCCGGGGTCTCTGCATTTCCTCGGTTCAAACACAGCAGCCGGTAGGGCAGGAGAGACAGTTCCTGCAACTGAGTTGATGAGAAAGTCCCAGTTGCCTGCAGGACTCCGGCAGGGCCGCTGCTCGGGAAAGGGAGTGCGCCTCGGCCGAGCTAAGAGGCTGGGGGTGCGGGACCAAGTCCGACTGCCGGGAGCCCAGCGGGCCGGAGCTGGGGCGCACGGGGCTCCCCAAGGGGCGGTCAGGGCCCCGGGGCCACCTACAGGACGCCCTCTTCCCTCCGCAGGGGGAGGATGCCGCCGCCGGCGAAGGAGGCCCGGCGCCAGGGCCCGCAGGAGCGAGGCGGGAAGAGCGCACCCGGCGCGGGGCGGGGTTCGGAGGGCACCAAGGCGGAGCCCGCGACGGAGCCCCGAAAGCCGGGCTGGGCCCTGACGCCGCAGGGGCTGGCGGCCTTGCTCCCCGCGCAGCGCCGCCGCCACCTGCTCTTCAGCGACCTCAGGGAGGACGCGGGCGCGGCCGCCTCCACCTTTCAGCGCGCGTCGGTGGAGCCGGGGCACCGCCTGCCCGACCCGCGCCGGTGGACGCAGGCGCTCGAGCTGCCCTCGGAGCGCCAGAACCTGCTCCTGGGCGTCCTCAAGGCGGCAGAGGCCCGCGGGCGAGTCCGCGCCCTGCGGTTGCGCTACACCCGCATGCGGGTGAGGGGACGGGCGCGCGGAACGGGGCGGGGCGCGTGGGGCTGAGGGCGGGGCGCACGGGGCGCGCGGAACGGGGCGGGGCGCGTGGGGCGGGGCGGGGCGCACGGGGCGCGCGGAACGGGGCGGGGTGCGTGGGGCGGGGCGGGGCGCACGGGGCGCGCGGAACGGGGCGGGGCGCGTGGGGCTGAGGGCGGGGCGCACGGGGCGCGCGGAACGGGGCGGGGCGCGTGGGGCGGGGCGCGGCGCACGGGGCGCGGAATGGGGCGGGGCGCGAGGGGCGCGAGCTCAGCCACCGAGCCCCGGCAGGCGGAGGAGATCGAGCTGCTCATCCAGCAGCAGAAGTCCGCGCGCGCCTCCATCCGGCTCGAGCTGTTCCTGCCACCACAGCTGAGGCCCACGCGGATCCCGGACCCCCTGGACCGCCAAGAGGTGCGGGCGAGCCACGGGGGAGCGGGGAGGGGGCCCCCGCCCGCCTCTGCCCACACCCGGCCCCAGCCTGTCCCCCCGCAGCGGAGGCGCGTGGAGGCCATCCTGGAGGAGAACGTGGACAGCAGCATCTTCCCGCGGTGACGGCGACCCAGAGCGTGCGACCCGCCCCAACCTCCCACATAAAGTAATCGTTCTCCGAAGGCTCTCTGGTCTTTCTGCGCCGGCTCCCCAGGACCCCTGAGGGGAGCGAGGAGTATGGGCGCTCCCTCTCCCGTGGACCTCACAGACTTATTTAGTGGGCGATGCAAGTGGCTGGGGTGAAAGTAACAGGTCAGAGACACGCCTGCCCCCAAACCCGACCTGCCCCGTAGGCAACCTGGCGCTCTGCAGGTCCATGGGAGGCCCCCAGTCTTGGGGACGATGGAGAAAGAGCCTGTTTCAGCAGCAGTCACACCCCCAGAAGGGCAGTCTCGGGCTACAGTGGTCCGAGTGCAAGTCACCCCACCAGGGGTAGAGGGCGGTGCTGTGGGCAGCGAAGTGACCTAAGCTGACCTTTGAAGAGGCACCAGCTGTGCCCAGAGGACCCAGAGACTGAGGAAGAGGAACCCCCTCTGGGAGGCCCCTGCTGCCCTAGAGAAAAACCCTCGCCCTCTGGTCTTTTTTCCCATCCTGAATAGCCTCCTGTGACCCCTTAATGCCCTGTGCCTCTGTCTGTCTGCCTGTGTCTCTCTGTCTCTCTGTCTCTGTCTCTCTGTCTCGTCTCTCTCTCTCTCTCTCTCTCTCTCTCTCTCTCTCTCTCTCTCTCTGTCTCTCTCTCTCTCTCTCAAAAGGAAACCACCCATGTCCCATTCTGACAAACAGGCCCATTACCTACAAAATCCCTGGACTCTGAAAAGCCCCCAGATGTCTGGGCAGACCTTACTCTTCTCCCCCACATGGGCTCTTTGCAGAAGCTGGGACTTCCCTAGGCCCCTCCTCCTTTTCCTCCCTCCCAGCACCCTGTCCAGCAGGCTGCACAAAAGCGGGAACTACAGGAACTCAGACAAACCCCTCCCCCTGCCAGGGGGCTCCAGCTGGCTCTGCCTGGAGCCAAGAGCAGACCTGGAAGGAGGGGCAGAGGTCCAATCTGGGGTCCAGAAGGGATCCTGCTCCATGGCAGCCAGTGACCCTCCCCAACCCTGGCCGGGGTGGGAACTACTCACTCTGGCCCCTCAGTCAGCCCTTCTCCCCGCGCACCTGGCCCTTTACTCTTTCTGGGCTGTTGCTGCCCTTGGCCTTGACCCAAGCCCAGACTGTACACAGAGCTCAGAAGTCGGCTGACATGTCAGGAGGGGGTTCAGGAAGGGGAGGGGAAAAAGGAAGGAGGCCAGGGGGAAGGGGCTTGTGCGGGGCAGACAGACAGGGAAGGGGAGGCCATCTCTGTCCAGCAGTGGCAACCACTCACACCCTGATGTGCTTGTGGCATATGGTGACACCAGCCCTGGTGTCCTCTGGCCAAACTCCCTACAGCCTGGACCCCAGGATTCTGTCTCGGGGACTGACTGAGTGTGTAGAATGAGTTCATCTAGGAGAATCACACATTATCACCTCTGAGACTCCATTTCCTCATCTTTAAAATCAGGGTCTTGGTGCAGTGCCCCACACGCAGCAAGTGCTCCAGAGGGGACGGGTCACTCTGCATCAGATAGGCACCAAGGAAAGAGGGGCAGAGGCAGACACAGCAAGCCCAGCACCCTGCAAAGGCCAGCAAGGCAGGGACCTCTGACTGCTCCAGGGTCAGACCAGCACACAGGCCCTCTGATCCCCATGAAAGGAGGGGGCTAGGTGTGCAAAGGAGCTAGGGAATGGGGCCTGGGACATTTCTGCAGGGCCGGGGGAACTCCTGCCTGTAGAAAGCTCTGTGGGAAAGGAAGGCATGTGGACCAAGGCCCAATATATTGGGGACTGTGAGGGAGCAGAGGGTCCTGGGTTCAAATCCCACCTGCATCATCCACTGCCCAGCTCACCTGGCTCCACCCATGGACTTCAGGGATGCTCTGTGCAGAAGCCACGGGAATGGAGAGCAGGCCCAAGGGGCCAGAGGAAATGGGGCGGTGATGAGGGGATTGCAGAGTAACCCAAGGGCACAGGGAGGGCACTGACCTTCATCCGCCGCCAGCTACCCACACCTGCATTTCCCACAGCGGAGACAACAGGCCGACCCGCTGGGCAGGGTCCACCTGGTTGTGTGGCCTGGACCAGGTGCTGGCCCATCTTCATTAAGCCTCCCTGACCTCACCTGTGCCCACCTCTCAGGAGTGTTACCTGGGCTGAATAAGAAGCAGCCCGCCTCTTGTCCCCATGGGCTTCCTGGCCCCTGCCTTGCCTGGCCTGGCCTGACAACATGGCAGCCACAGGGTTCTGAGGTCAAGTCGGCCAGGGCTCTGGGCACAGCTTCAAGAGGCAGCCTGTCCTCCAGGGCCCTCTTGCCTCTGGCCTCCCCCTCCAGGCTCCTGCCCAACCCAGCAGTCCAGTGCCCTCCCCTCCTCAGTGCTCCTGCCTCTCACCCAGGCCTTTCCTGCCTGCCCCCCACAACTCACCTGTGCCCCCAGCAGCAGATCCAGGCTGACCCGTGTTCCTGGCTTCTGGTCCCACAGCCTGGCCCACAGGGACTCGCAGATACTGATCCTTGTCTGCCGAATTAGGGGCACAAGCAAGATCTCCAGCTCCCTTTCCAGGCCTCAGAGTTCTGTGAAGGTGTACACCTGACTTGTGCAATTGGAATGCATTTTATGGGCGGCCCCCGACACTGGAGGTGTCCTGGCCACGTGCTTGGGGAGGACGGGAGCTGCACACGGGGGAGGGGGGCACAGACGTTCTGCAGGCGATTCCAGAGCAGGGTCAGGGCCACCTGACACGTGCTGGGACGAGAAGCCTGACCCGGTCTGTACCGAGTCACGAAGGAGGCGAAGGGTCGGCCAAAGGGACAGGGCATTCGTGGAAAAGGCGGCAGTGTGGCTTTGAGCTTCAGGACGTCCAGGGGTACGCGGGTCAGCAGGGACTCCGCCAGGCCCCACAGAGACATTCAGTGTGACTGCGGATGCAAGAGCCGCACCCCCAGTTCCCCAGCCCCGCAGTTCAGGCATCTCCCCCTTCCGCGAGAAGCCCCCACAGCGCGAAATGCTCTTAACCCGGTTTCACAGACGAGGCTGAGAGAGCCGGTGCGGGGCGGGGGGAGGCGGGGTTGGGGGCCGCGGCCCAGCCCGTCACAGCAGCCGCCCCTTCCCGAGTGGGAGCCCCACGCGAAACGCAAGGCAGGGGCGGTCACGCCGAGCAGCGTCGGGGGCCACGGCTGAAGCCCGTCGGCGACAGAGCAGCTCGGGCTGCCACACCCCGACCCTGCAGGCCACCCCCGAGCGACCGTGTAGGCTGAGCGCGGGGCGGGGCGGGGCCGAGCGCGGGACGGGGGCGGGGCGGGGCCGAGCGCGGGGCGGGGCGGGGCGGGGCCGAGCGCGGGGGGCGGGGCGGGGCGGGGCCGGCTGAGCGCGGGGCGGGGCGGGTCTGAGCGCGGGAGGGGCGGGGCCGAGCGCGGGGGGCGGGGCGGGGGCGGGGCGGGACGGGCTGAGCGCGGGCAGAGCGGGGGCGGGGGCGGGGCCGAGCGCTGGGCGGGGCGGGGCCAAGCGCGGGGCGGAGCAGGGGGCGGGGCTGAGCGCGGGCGGGGCAGGGCGGGGCCGAGCGCGGGAGGGGGCGGGGGCCGAGCGCGGGCGGGGGCGAGGCCGATCTTGGGGCACAGCGGGGAGGGCCGCGGCGGGCCTGGCGCCTCCCCGCGCGAGGAAGTCCCGGCGGGGCTTTGGGGAAGTGCGGCCGAGGCGCCTGCGCACTGCGGCCCCCAACCCCCCCGCGACGGCCTGGCGGGACCTCGGAGCGCGCGGGCCGGCGGCGGCGCGAGCGGCTCGGGAGCGCGGCTGGTGAGTGCGCGCGCGCGGCGCGGGGACGGCGGCCCTGCCCCTCCCTGCCCGGGCCCGGGGACCGAGCGGGGCGGGAGCCTCGGGAGGCGGCGCTCGGGCCTCGAACCCCACGGGCTCCCGCCGCCAGGTCCACGTGGACCCTGGGCCGCAGTGGAGCTGCAGCCCGGCCCCCGCGCGTGGGGGAGGGGGCGCTACGGCCGAGTTCCCCTTTTTCTGGAGCTCAAAGCCTGGGGAAGTGATTGCTCAAAGGTGGGGGCCGGAAGAACCCAGGTTTCCGCGTCTTCCTCCCTCCATCAGCCTGGTGAGGAGGGGCCGGGGCGGGACACTGTCGGCCCCCGCCCCCACCTCGCCAGATCTGGCCGCCACTCAGCCCCGCGAGCTGTAGGGAAGGCGCTGCGCCCCCGGCCCCAGCCGATTGGGGGCTCCTGGCGCTGGCCTCCCTCCAGAGCGAGGCAGGAGTCCCTCCTGCCGTCTGACTTGAGTCCCTGCTGCTGCAGTGCACGCCCCTTCGGCAGCCAGGGTGGGGCCCACACCCAACCTGGCCCGTCCTGCCCCCACCCCGCCTTTGGGTCGCTGGTGAGTAGGGCGCCTTGAGGTAGGGGTGGGGGCGTCAGAGGCTGGAGGAGGACACAGGCTCCCGACCCTAAGAGCAGAGAGAGGAGCGAGGTGGGTGGGTCACCACCACTGTTTCAGAGGTGGGCTGGGGAGGGCTGGCCGCCTTTGGAGGGACCAGGCTGGGGTTCGCCCAAGCCAGATGGGGAGGGTGGCAGATGGGAAAGGCCATGGGCAGGAACAGAACTGAGAATGGAGCCCCTCTCAACCCCCCTCTCAAAGGTTGTGACATTTTTTTCTGGGATTGTCACATTTTCTTATTCTTTTTTTGGACTGGGCAGGCTCTGGGACGTTCTTTTTCCTTCTGTGGAGCAAAGCAACAGCCACTCCCAAGGGAGCCTCTATCCCCAGAGACCAGACGTGCCGCCTGTCCCGCCTCTCCCATCCCAGATTTGGGGGCCAAAGCCTGGGGGACTGGGGAAGGGGGATCCCCAGTACCAGGGTGACGAGCAGGGGAACCCTAGTTGAGACTCTATCCCCTAGGAGAGAAGGGGAGTAGCCTGGAGACATAGGTGGTCCCAGTTGACCAGAGAAGGTACAAGAAGCCAGGCCCAGGGATGGTGACCAGGTCCAGGGCCTGCAACTGGGAAAGAAGGGGCTGGCTCCCTCCTCTGCAGCAAACGAAGCCCCTGGCACCCTGGCCCTGCACCCCTACACACATCCCCTCCTCTAGTTCAGAGCCGGGGTGGAGATGGTAGCCCAGGAGGGACAGTATCCAGGGTGGGGGAGGACCCTGGGTGGGGACAGAGAGGAGGAAGAACTGCCGCCTGGGGAAGTCACAGCCCCGTCTGGTGCAGCTACCAAACCTCAGGGTGCCACACCCCTTCCTTTCCCTAGAAACTTGACCCCTAAAAGGAAGCCCAGCTGCAGGGCTGCTTTCTGTCCCCTCATGTACTTGCTAGGAGCCCATGGGACCCACAGTCTCAGCGGAAGGTGGGCAGGTGGTAAGGGGCTGAGGTCCCCTGCACCTGCTCCAGACTTGGGCCGGGGCAGTGGCCTCTGCATGCCCAGGTCCTGGGGGCAGTGGGTGTCCTAAGAGTGCAGAACTCCAGCATTGTCTTCTCTGAGCTCATTTACACCCCATCCCAGGAGGCCAAGAGAGGCCAACCAGACAGAAACAGGCACTCAAAGGCCACAGGCTAGGGGAGGCACATCAGGGAGGGTGAAGATTGAGACAATAAAGTCCAACCAAGTTGTGAGCCTCCTGGCCAGGGAGGAGGGTGGCAGATGAGGAGGCTGGCGGTGTGCACGGAGACCCAGAGGGCCCTACCCTGGGCAGAGGTGGGCTCGGGTGCTCACAACCGCCTCCAGGGCAGATCGGTACCCTGTGCCATCACCCAAGGAGACTTGGGATTCGAAGTCGTATCTTGGGTAGCACGAGGGCGACCCACAGCCTTGGCGTTCCTGGCACACCTCCCCTGCAGACGGCACAGCCAAACACCAGGAAAGACACACACCACACCACACCACACCGCACCGCACCGCACCGCACCACACCACACCGCACCGCACCACGCCCATCAGCAACTCCGGGGCTTTGACTGGGGAGCAGGGTTCCCTGCCCACTGCTACCCCCACTTCCCTGGCTGGCGTGCCCTACGGTAGGGCCTTGGTCCACAGCGGTTTCACAGCCTAGAGGTAGTGGGCAGGAAGGGAGGGAAGTCGGGTAGGAGGCAGCAGGACCAAAGAACCATGTTTGGGGGGCACGTCCCTCCTCACCAGGGCCCTGCACCCTTTCCCATACCCTCAAGAGGTCCGGCCGTGAGTCCCACTTAAATCCTCAATGCCACAGGGCTAGCCTGCCACCCTGGCTGAGACCTCCGGGCCCTACAGACAGACCTGTACTCTTGGGAGAGAGCTGCTCTGCCTCCTCCCCACCTGACCCCCTAGAAACGAGTCTGGCCACCACCCTCATGCATCAGTTAGTAGCCCCAGACTCTCGGGGCCCCTTTGGGAGGGGCTGGGAGCCGGAAACCAAGAAAGAGGAACCCAGGCTTCCGGCTTCCCAGGGACTGAGCGGATGGGGTGTCCCGGAACCTCCTGTGGGGGCCTCATGTGGGGCGCAGCCTGGGAGGAGGGGCCACAAGCTGCCTCAGTCCCCTCCTCCGTGACCCTGGGCCCCCTCCCAGCCCTGCTGTAAGCTTAGAGTAGGCATAGGAGCCCTCAGCAGAGCCAGGTCCAGAGGCAGGAGCAGGCCCCGCTAGGGAGACACCCTCTCAGGACCCCTCCTAAGGGACAGGCGGGGCCTGGGGTTTCTGGTTCTCAGTCAGAACCTTGGCACCTCTCCCCAGACCCCCAGGCTGTGGTGAGGGTCTGAGAGCTGGCACCACGGAGCCTGGGCAACTTCCTCCGCCCACCCATGCCCACCCCGCATGAGGCTGAGAAGCAGGTAGGCCACCTCCCCTCTGCCTCTGCTCCCCTGGGGGAGATGGGGTGGGGCAAGCTGAGGGGCCACAGGGAGTTGGGAGACCCCTGAACACCTGGGAGGCCAGAAGGGTCATGTCCCTGGGACCAGGGGCCACCCATGGGAGGGCAGGTGAAAGGTGGTGGGTCTGGTGGGTTCTGACCTGGAGACTGACGTAGCCCCATCTCCCTGCAGAACACAGGGCCAGAGGAGGCGGACCGGCCCCCTTCAATGTCCAGTCATGATGCAGCCCCTCCAGCAGCCCCCAGCCGCAACCCTTGCTGCCTGTGCTGGTGCTGCTGCTGTAGCTGCTCCTGGTGAGTGGGGCCTGGGGTGCCCAGCTGAGGAGGGGGCTGGGGTATGGGGCCAAGGAGACCCAGGAGGGATCCCAGTGGTGGCTTCTGAGGGATCCCCTGCAGGCAGGATGCCCCTGCCACCTCGAAGCCAGCCCTGTCCTGTCCAGGGTCTGTGGGGCCCTGGTGATGAGTGGCTGGTGCCTTGGCCCCTGGTGAGGTCAGGGGGCTTGTGTATGGTTCTTGTACCTGTCTTGCCAAGGGCGCATCCAGCTGCTGTGTATACGCGTGCTCCCATTCACATAGCATGTGCTTATCGATGCTGCTATGAGCCAGCCCAGGCTGGGCCCTGGGTGCCTGCAGTGGAGTGAGACGGGCACAGGCCAGGTGTGGTGGCTCACACCTGAAATCCCAGCACTTTGGGAAGCCGAGGCGGGCAGATCACCTGAGGTCAGGAGTTCAAGACCAGTCTGGCCAACATGGCAAAACCCCATCTCTACTAAAAATACGAAATTAGCCAGGCGTGGTGGCGGGCACCTGTAATCCCAGCTACTCGGGAGGCAGGAGAATCGCTTGAACCTGGGAAGCGGATGTTGTAGTGAGCCGAGATTCTGCCATTTCACTCCTGCCTGGGCAAACAAGAGTGAAACTCAGTCTCAAGAAAAGAAAGAAAGACAGGCACAGAACCCCCCAGACTGTGTGGGGTGGAGGGACTTTCGAGCAGAGACCCAAAGAGGGAACCGCTGGCCCCGGGTGATGGCCAAGAGCTCCCCAGACAGCGTGTGCAGGGGGAAAAGAGCACGGGGTTAGAGGGGGGCCTCTGGGCATTCCTGTGGGGGTGGGAGTGGGACTCCCAAGTGATAACACATTTTCTAGGAGAGTAGGGGAGCTGGTGGATGTCTTCCCGCCTTGCAGAAGCCTGGCCCTACTCAGGCTTCAGGCCCTGGCTGATGAGGGGACAGTGCTTCAGGACCCACGTGGGGTCAGCTGACCAGCTGACCCATGAGCAATGTGGGGGTGGGCAGGGGGCAGTGAGGAGAGGGGGTGGGAGGAGTCAGGGGCCTTGTCCAGAGGAGTCAGGACGTCTGGGTACACGACGTCTGCCAGCCATCCAGGTGCCCTGGAGAAAGGTCAGCCGGGTGTGGATTTGGGTCCAGCCCTGACGGTGCTAGTAGCCAAGGCAGGGAAGAAGCTTCCCTTGAGAGAGCCAGGGGTCAGGCTCCAGGACCTGACCAGTGTGGACACGTGGGTTTGGGACCCTCACTCGCGCCAGACCTGCAGCGTGCGGCCCCATCGCAGGGACAGGGACGGGGGTCGAGATCAGGCCTAGAAGCAGGGTCCTGCCCAGTGGGCCAGGGACCAGGAGCCAAAGGGTCCCTCCTGGAAGGCCAGAAAGTCCCGGCCACTGGGGCAGAGTCTGTTGCCTGAGCACTGTGGCAGGAACAGCAACCCGGACAGCATATTCCCTGGGGAACTGGGGAGGGACCGACAGGGAGACCCCAGGTGCCAGGGCGGTGCCGCTTCCTCCCTGCTCTAGGAACGAAGAGCGGCGGCGTGCGTGGCAGGCCTCCCGGGAGAGCAAGCTGCAGCCCCTCCCCAGCTGTGAAGTGTGGTGAGTCCACCCGGCTGGTTTGTGCGTGCTGGGGGCCCAGGCCGGGAGACTCGGGCCTAACGCAGCCCCAATGCTCACAGTGCCACGCCAAGTGCTGAGGAGGTGCAGAGCTGGGCGCAGTCCTTTGACAAGCTGATGCACAGCCCGGCGGGACGCAGTGTGTTCCGGGCCTTCCTGCGGACGGAGTACAGCGAGGAGAACATGCTCTTCTGGCTGGCCTGCGAGGAGCTGAAGGCCGAGGCCAACCAGCACATGGTGGACGAGAAGGCGCGGCTCATCTACGAGGACTATGTGTCCATCCTGTCCCCCAGGGAGGTGCGCCCGCCGCCGGCACGGGCAGGAGGCAGCCTGCTCCAGGCACCGGGTGGGGAAGGTCCCTCCCAAGCCCCCTGACCCCAGTGCCTTGTCCCGCAGGTGAGCCTGGACTCCCGCGTGCGGGAGGGCATCAACAAGAAGATGCAGGAGCCGTCCGCGCACACGTTCGACGATGCGCAGCTGCAGATCTACACGCTCATGCACAGGGACTCCTACCCGCGCTTCCTCAGCTCTCCCACCTACCGGGCCCTGCTGCTGCAGGGACCCTCACGGTCCTCCTCTGAGGCCTAGGCTGCCCGGCAGCACAGACCCCGCCGCCTCCCCTGGCAGACTCTGGGTTGCTGTCAGGGCGCCCACCTGCAGGCCCCAGCCCTGGAGGCCGTCCTAGACCCAGTGGGGAGTGCTGTGTCTTCTGGCTCTGCCCACCATCCCGAGCAGGAACTCCAGGTGCAGGGCGGGTCAGAAGCCCCCTCATCGCCCACAGCTGGCTGGCACGGTGTTCCTGGCTGGGGACTCGGGTGGTGAGAGCAGGGGTCCCCCCAGGAGGCATGCTGGACCCATGAGCCTCGTTGGGGCCCCTCCCCAGGCAGCTGACGGGCCCCAGACTAGCCTTTGGTGGATCTAGAGCCTCCACGTCGTGTAGTTTTGTGACATAAGGAGACCTCCTACTTGAGCTGTCCCCAGAACCAAACCCAGCACCTCAGAACCAGATGCAGAACCTCAGAATCCTGCACTCAAGGTGCCAGGACCCAATTTCTGTTTTATATGTTCATGAACTTGAAACCTGGAAACATGTCCTTGATATGTGTTTTACCAAAAAAAAAAAAGTTTTCATATTTATCTCTATCCCTAACCTCCCCAAAATAGGATGTCTTATTAATTGAAGGTATTTTTAAAGCAAAAGTCTCTCCTCACTTTTTTCCAACTTTGGGGACAGACTGGAGAATGAGGGGTGGCCCCACACTCAGGGCCGGGGAGGAGTGTCCTTGTCCCAGGACAGGGGCTCCAGTGCCCCCCTGAGGGGAGACAGCCTGTGTGCCTGCCCCTCCTCCCACGCCCTGGGCTCCACCAGACCCCTCCTCAGAACAGGGGCCCCAGTGGGTAGCTATGCTTCACCCTGCCCGGGGCATGGGCTCCAGGGCCTTGGCCTCAGCCTCCTCAGCAGTGACGTGGGGCTAGAACAGCGTGACCCACAGCACTGCAGAGGTCAAGAGGCAGCAGGAGGGGCCGCCCAGGCCTGGCTGCACGGGGTCCCCAGAGGCAGGCTGGCTGGGGCAGGAGGGATGGCTTGGTGCCTGGCACTGTGTCATCTTCACCATCTCACAGCCCCACCCCTACATTTCTGGGAAGGTAAGTGATTTGAAGCTGACTGGCTCACGGCCCTGAGACCATAACTCCCACAAGAACAGAGGCAGCAGCATGGGGACAAGCTGTCCTAAAGTGCCAGGAGCAGACCTGGGCCCTGAGCAGCCCACGCCTGAGGCAGCGGGGAAGACACTGCTCCGTACAGGCTGTCAGCGCGCGCACAGGGTCCTCTCCCCGCTGCCCTCACACAGCCACCCCGCACAGGACAGGCACGCGCAGGAGGCCCCCTCCCCGCTGCCCTCACACACACAGCCGCCCCGTGGGATCTCTGAAGCCCCAGCCAAGCTCCTGGGACTGACCCACCAGGACCAAACCCAAGCACTGCCCAACCCCAGGGAGGGGCCTTGTCCACAGCAGTGGGAATGGGTCATGTGGAGCATGGGGGCCCACCAGCAGTACCAGCTGAGGAGAACAAAATGGCAAAAGGAAACATTTAATAACTACGGGGAAAGGGCAGAAAGGTGCAATTCAGGCAGGCAGGTTGAGTGCAGGACATGCCGCCTTCTGGGGTCTCCAGAGAAGCTGTGTCAACGGAGGACATGGGCGATGGGGCAGCAGGCAGCACATCTGCATGAGGGCTCAGCAGAACTGTGAGAAAGGGGTGAGGCCTCCAGTCTTGTGGCCACATGAGAGCCCCCAGAGTGGGAGGCCGCACAGGTGCACCCAAGGCTGGGGTCTCCACCCACCGTGCCAGAGACTCCCAGTAGGCTGGCTGGGCAGGGCCATCCCCAGCTCACACCGCCACAGAGGCTGACACACCCCACCACCAGAGAACGGGGCTGGGAGGGCAGCCCGGGCCGCTCACCCACCTTCCAGCGGTTTCCACACTCGTTGCAGACAACAAAGGTGGTCATGGGCTCATCAGAGCTGCGGGTCTGCACCTGTGGGGAAATCTGGGTGAGCTCAGGGTCGCCTCCGTGCTCTGTTGCAAAGGGTGTCCATCTCCATGGGCAGTGCTGGCAGCTGCTGAGCCCCTACAGGTGACTCCAGCCTTCCAGAGCTGAGCCTCCAGGAGAGGGAGACAGTGTCTACCAGGGCAGAGGCCCTTGTATGGGCCTGAAGCAGCTCAGCCGGCTGGGGACAGCAGGGCCCAGACTTGGCTAAGGTGGGAGCAGCCCTCCGGCGCCTCCCGTGGTGGGGGGAACCAGCAGGTGTCCCCAGTGGCCGTGGCTGCCTTCCAGAAGGCAGAGCCTGTTCTGACCGGCCGCTGGGAACAGGAGAGAGGCAGCCTCTGCAGACCCAGGCCCCAGGCAGTCTTGGAGGGAAAGGAAGGGATGTCCTCCAGACCCCTCACAAGTCTCATCTGCCAGGCGCAGCAGCCGCCTCGATGCATTCCCCTCTGAACAGGGTCCCCGCCATCTCGTGGGGCCCACACAGTCTCCCCAGCGCACCTTGGTGTCCGCCTCCACACCAGGCAGCGGGCAGCACGGCGCTCCCACCAGCATCACCACCTTCAGGCCGGGCCAGGCCAGGCCAGGCCCTCCAACTTGAGTGCCCGGAACAAGTGGGACCCACCACCCAAGACGCTGCCTCCTGGGACCCAGGGGTCCTGGGTAGAGGGGGTGGTCCCTGAGGGTGACCGTCACGCCTTAGCCCAGTCAGGGACTGAAAGGCTCGGGAAGCCAGCAGAAGCAAGCCAGGCACGGGCCCCAGGGAGGGCACTGGATGCCCTTAAGACCCCCGAGGGCCGGGGGAGGCGCCGCGGCTGCTCGCCTGCGTGTAGGTGCAGCTCTTCTTCCTGCACTTGCCGCAGGTGAACAGGTCGGTCTGCGTGCCGCCCGTGCGGGCCATCTGGTGTTCGCGGATGGCCTCCTTGGTCATGGCCTTGCGGATCTCCTTCAGCTCGTCGCTGGCCATCTCCTGCAGCACAGGGCCGGCGGCTTAGCCCACAGCTCCAGGCGAGCAGCCCTCCAGCGCCTCCAACGGGGGCTCACCTCCGAGGTCATCACGGCGATCCGCTGGGGCGTGATGGCCCCACACAGCACGTTCCGCCGCAGGTCGGGATTCTTAGCGTCCTTCAGGTTGGAGATACGGCTCCGCACACGGTTCTTATACTTCATGTCTGTGTTCCCAACGTCCCGGAAGATGCGTGAAAGTGCTTAAGGACCCGTCCGAGGACAACGTCACCGCCCTCCACCTACCACTTGCCCCGTGCCAGGCCTAGAGAGGCTCTGCCCACCACTACCTGGTGCAGAGGTGAAGGGCTGCGGGACCGAGCCTGCCCCAGGCCCACTCCCGACTGAGACCCAGCTTCAGGCTACAGTCCCAGGGGACCGAGGTCCCACGACAGGCAGAATCAGCTCCTCTGAGGTCCAGGGGGCCCTCCCGGGTTGAGACAGCTTGACCACCCAGGCAGGTGACCGACCACCCAGGAGGGCAACCCCCGGACAGCTGGGCAGTGGCACCCAGCAACCACCAGAGGGCGCCAGGCCGCGCAGCCTCGTGACACCGCCAGAAACCGGGGCCCCTGCACAAAGGATATATTCCTCGATCTGAGCCGACAGGCGCTTGCAGTCCGCACCGATGGCCACATGGTCGTCTGCAAGAGGGAGCCCTGACTAGCAGCACCCACTGGTTCCTCCACCTGCCACCCCTTCTGCCGGCACGAAACCCTGGCAGCTCAGAGGGGACACCCGTGTCCCTGGGAGAGGCCAATGATCCAGGCACAGGTCCCAGGCCCCTGCCAGGGACACAGCAATGGCTGCGGGAAGAGGGTGGTCCCTCCAGAAGCAGGCCTCCTCGGGCAGGCAGGGGCCTGGGCCACCCCGTGAATCCAAGCGGGTTCAGGAGCCAGGGCCTGCCGCACTCACGGTCCGTCTGCAGGGCGGCAGTCAGCATCTCACGGCACTTGTCACGCACAGCATCACAAGTGACGGGCACTGGGGGAAACGTGGTGATCCTCGGAGTGGACGGTGCCCTGGGCAACTCCGGCCTCTTGCGGCTGCAGAGATCCAAGCCAGCTGGGCTCAGAGGCAAGGCTGCAGGCACCCAGCAAGACATGGGTCCCAGAAGCAGCAGGTGCCACAGCATAACCCCCTCCAAACCCTGCTTGCTCCAGTCTGCCAGACTCCAACAGTGGCCTACGGCCCTGCCTATCTTGAGTGTACCCCAAATGTCCACGGGGTGTGCCCAGCTGCCAGGAGGGAGTGGGCCTTGAGGTCCCCAGTGGGTTGGGGTGTATTCCTCAGGAGGAAACGGGATCTCAGAGCCAGCAGGCAGTGTCTGGGCAGCATCGCCAGCAGATCAGAATGAACCTGGCAGTTCCTGCCACATCTGGGGTGCCCACCCCCTGGGACACAACACCAACACCTCTGCTAAGGGCAGCTGCGGCTGCTGCCTAGTCAGGGAGAGGCAGAGACCCACAGCTGCCTGGGGGAGAAGACAGGCAGGGCCACCCAAGGCCAGGCTCCACTATCACAGATGACCCCACTGGGCACGTGCAGAATGGAATCAGGGTGCCCACAGGGCTCGTCCACAACATGGGCTGCCCAGTGTCCAGGCTGCATCCACCCAGCCCTCCCCTCATCCCCTCGCAAACGGCAGAAGCAGGCAGCTTCCTGGAGGAAAATCAACTTGCAAAGATGTGTCCATGAGCTCCCAGTGGCAAAGCTAAACCCAGCGCCCAGCCACCGCAACCCGGTATGGTCAAGGGCAAAGCCGTCTCTTGGCCATAGCCTGTCACCATAAGCACCCCCAGCTCCCAGCCACAGGCCACAGAGCCCTGATCACCCCCCACTGGCAGCAGTGGCCACACGTGCACATGCAGGGCAGGAGTGGGGGCTGGGCACCCTGCCTTTGGTAGAATTTTGCAGGAAGGAGGGGCCCTCATTGAGTGAGGCTGAGGGGGAAGCCAGAGTGGGCCAGCGAGAACCAGACCCAGCAGTGGGTCTTGGGGAAAGAGGGCAGGGGGCTCCCACAGGCCCACTCAGGGTATACGGCAGCTCTTGGCGGAGGAAGAGACCGGGGTGGCTGGCTGACAGCCAGGTAGACACAGGCCGTGTCTCAGGGGGTCACTGCAGGCGGGACACACCATGAGGCCCATCGAATCTGTGTGCGGACTCAAAGTGGTGCTGAGGCACACAGAGATCAGCACCCTTTCTCTGGTGAGGAAACAGGCTGGGAAGCAGCAGTGTGTGCACCTGCCTTCCAGGTGTGCTACCTGGGGTCCTGGGCCTCTGAGGCATCCCTCGAAGATGTAGGCAGAGGTGTGCCCCGCCCCCGCTCCCTGGCTTTGGCATCTGAAGCATCTGCAGTTGCAGGAAAGATGGGGGATGGGCTCAAGAGGGGAAGGCAGAAGAAGGGGGGGGCGCAGACCACCGACGCCGCCCCGCCCCAGCTGCCCACCCAGCCAGAGGAGCCAGGGGCCAGGGAGCTGTCCAGCCTCTGTGAGCAGGTCCTCACCCTTCCCTGCAACCCATCCGTCTGCGGTCCCAAGACTGCCTCCCCAGAACGCTTTCCCACACAAGCACGCACAAAGGCCACCTCTGGGCCCTGTCTGGGTGTGGAGCTGGCGGGGGCTGCCTCCATCCCAGACAGGG